TTTTTTTTTTTTTTTTTTTTGGCCTCAGATCAAACACTGATTTAAAACCATTTGGCTCACATTCAAAATAAAATTAGGGAAATTTACGTACATGGCACACAATTCTTATGTATTTACATATCACACCTAAACTTCATATTTATATACATAACATTTTGGTTCCTTAAACCTACGCATGCAAATGTGTATTTCACCTTTAAAAAGTGATAATAGTGCTATTTTTCATATGATATCAAAAACTTGAGTGCTATGTGTTTAAATATGAAAGTTTAGGTGTGAGATATGTAAATACATAAGAATTGTGTGCTATTTATGTAAAAGCCCCTAAAAATTAATCCTTTGAACTTGATTTCCAATGTGGAACCAAATATTCATTTTGATGGAGTGTTATGAATAAGCCACACATATCAAAACAAAGAAGGGGCATTTACATACATACCACCGAATTCCTATGTATTTACATATCTAATACCTATACTTTACTTTTTATATTTGTATCCTCTAAGTCTTTGATATCACATCAAAAGTACCACTATTTTAACTTTTCAAATGTGAAATCACCCTTTCATGCATAGGTAAGTTGTCATATATGTAAAAATTGAAGTTTAGGAGTTAGATATGTAAATATGTACATTTTGAAGAAATTGATTTATATTACCAAATCACCTGAGTTCTTAGGGGCATTTACATTCATACCACCTAATTCCTATGTATTTACATATCCAACACCTAAAAGTTACTTTTTATATTTATACCACGCAAATCTCTCATAGGAAATAAAAAAATACCATCTTTTTAAATTTTAAAAGGAGAAGTACACAGTTTTATGCATAAGTAAGTTGATATGTATTTAAAAATTGAAGTTTGGTGCTGGATATGTAAATACGTAAGAATTGAATGGTATGTTTGTAAATTTCCCAAATTGTTTAGATTTAGGGATAATTACATACTTAGCATCCGAAACATTGTCATTTACTAAATCTCCCAAGACTAATGGATAATTACATACATAACTATTTACAAGACGTCAAATGCACCTTTGCATGCATAGGTTTATTGCACTAAGGTGTTGTAAATGTAAATATCAAACTTTAACGGTTAGATATGTAAATCTATAAGCTACATTTCTAACTTCTCCTAAACTTATTGAAGACTGAATGTCCTGTCATCAAGCTCCGGATCCAGATAATGATGAAATTGGTTCATAGTGTGTATTTACATACATACCATCTAATTACTGTGTATTTACATATTTAACACCTAAAATTTGCTTTTTTTACATTTATACCACCCAAATTTTGCATATCACAGGAGACCGCCTTCGCCCAGTTGAAAGTGTGGCAAAGTGCAGCTATAGCAGCTGTGTTCTTTCTGAGCCCTGCCATTGGCTTGCAGGCTATGCTGATTGTGATGATAATAGCTCTTCTCATGGCAGTATCTGCCTTTCTCTTTCTAACTCTTCACGTCGAGAAATCCTCCATTGAAGTTCAGTGAGTAGATACATTTAGATACATACTACATCCACATTTCTTATGTATTTACATATCCGACTGCTAAACATTCATTTTTTACATTCATGCTACTCAAATCCTTAACATCACATCAAAAACACCTTTATCACTATCTTTTTAAAAGCGAAATACACATTTTCATGATGAAACCAAGCTGTTTCAAGCGTAGATGTCAAACTTTGGGAGTCAGATATGTAAATACGAAAGAATTGTGTATTATGTATGTAAATTTTCTACTGTGTATTTGACATAATATCATATTTTATCTGTCTTGTTACATATTACAAACATCACAGGAGCACCATCTAAAGTGTATTATTTAAGGTACTTCAATATCAATATACTTTTTTAAGTTACGTGCACGAGTACCTTAATTTCTCCAACTAATATGATAAGATGATAAATTTTATCGGTCAACTTGCATGTACAATGTGATGCTTATGATAAGTTGATCATTATAAAGCAATACCTTTCCCAAAGATAAATTGGCCATAGAAAGCTAATGGCTTGTGAAACTCCTCTTAGAGATAAGTTATCATTAATTAATGGATGTCATGCATACATTTATTTGTGAGGATCTCATACAAATTTGATGATGCAATCAAACATTCAAGTATTTTCATTAGTCACTTCTACCATACAATTTTTTTTTTTTAAGAAATGGCCGGAGGCTATTAGAAGGGCTCCGGTCATCCTTAGGTGTGCTAAATATTTGAGTGTCACACCCTACACACAAGAGGATTCGAACCCGTGACCTGAGGGTACTTACGACCTTCAGAAAGGCTCTGTTCTATCAATAGGCCACGGAATGCACACTTCTACCATAAACTTAAATATATATATATTCCTGCTCCTTAAAGTATTACATATTGCATATACACTTAATGTTTTGATTATTTTAGAAAATAACTTCTCTCAATAAATTTAAGGAAGATTTACATGGACACCACTCAATTCTCATGTATTTGCATATCTAATACATAAACTTCTATTTTTACATAGAGCCACATTTCTTATGCATGAAAAGATGTATTTCTCCTTTTAAATGATGGTATTTTGGATGTGATATGAAACATTTACGTGGTATAAATGTAAAAAGTAAATTTTAGGTGTTAGAAATGTAAATACATGAGAATTAGGTGATATGTATGTAATTGCCCATGAATTTTAATGGTGGTGATGTTACTAATGAATAAAATTTCTTGTTGATAGCCAATTTTATGCCACAATTTTCAACATGCAAACACATCAATACATGTGGTAATAAATATAATAGTGTATGCCACAATTTTCAACATGCAAACACATCAATACATATAACTTTTTTGATGTATAACACCATTCTTTTATAATTACATATCTAACCAAACAATTTCTTTTGTTCACATACATGGTACTCAAAAATCATCAGCATCACATGAAAAACACCAATATTACAACTTCATAAAAGTGAAATATATTTTTTTTCATATATAACTTTATAATACGGTTGTATTATAAATATAAATATCAAATATTAAGGGTTTGAAATGTAAATACATAAGAATGGTGTGGTATATATGCAAATTTCTCTCCCTATCTCATCTTCTCACATTATCCTCCACCTAAAGATTATTAGGCTTTTATTAAGAGGCTAAGAGTCGTTTTGGGGCAGTTGCGGTGATTAAAAATAATCTGTTAATAAGCTAGGTGCGGTGGTTATTACAATTTTTATTTTTTTTTTGAAAAGTCAGATCACTGCCAGAAAGCTGTCACTGCACCTAGATAGGTGCGGTTGTTTTCAGCGTTTTGAAAACGTATAAGCTGTCAAAACACAATTTACCCAAATAAGTCAGGTTCGTTTTTAAAACACCACCGCATCAAATAAACTACTTCAAACAGACTCTAAGCAGTTTTATATCATATAAAAGTGTAAAGTCCTTCATTCACTAGTAGAATATTATAGCTCAGTTATAGGTTTGGTTTTAATTTTCATCAACTCCGCAAACCTAAAAATTAAAATTTAATTAAAATATTTATTATATTTAAGGGTCGTTTACATAAATACCACACAATTCACATTTATTTATATATCTAACCCTGAACTCAATTTTTACAATTATCACCATTTTAATTTTTACAAAAGGCATAAGATGTAAAAATTGAAGTTTAGGTGTTAATTAAATATATACGAATTAAGAGGTGTGTATGTAAACCTTTCTATATTTTAGCATGATTGAACCCTTTGCATGATGAATGGAAGGGGTATTTACATACATACCACCCAATTCTTCTGTAATTACACATTGAACATTTAAACTTTTCATATTTAATTTACATGCATACTGCTAAAATGTTTAATATAACATCAAAAATATCACAATCATTATCTCTTAAAAAGTGAAATATTCATTTTCACGCAAAAGTTTAGGACACCATGTTATAAATGTA